GATTTGAGACTTAACATGGGTTTTCTTATTCATCAAAATCTAAGCTTTTTTACTTGTACATCCATTTGTGGTTAGTCGAGGCATCATATCTTCCAGACCATCTCCTTTAATGTACACGTTAAAATTAATTCTGCTGTAGTCTTAGAAAGAAAAACGGGATGAGAAGTTGCGTTTGCAAATACGAGACCCGACTAGCTTATCCATTTTATTAGAATTACACGACAGAACGATCAACGAGCCAAAAGAAGCACCATTTTTAGTAAACTTTTAGGCTTTTGTTAATTTGAATAAATGGCATACGAAGGAAGGAATATTAGCTCTATCTTGAAAGGATGTCGTGGAAAATATGGCAGAGAAAAAACTTTTTGTTGAATTTCTTCGTTATGACTTGCTTCAATCATAGTTTGTGTACTGCAGCATTTGAACACCACTCTGTTGCTTATTCTAACAAGGTAAAAAAAGAACAAAATTTTTTGTGTACCGTTGCATCTTATGACGGGAAAGAAAAATGAGAGAGCATATTACAATAAAGCCGTAATATTTTACCTAAAAAAGTGGTACATAGATGATAAAGTACAGCAATGACCAACACTTTGGTGGAAGATTGTTGATTGAAGAAATAAGGCTGCACATAAAGTTATAGTATAATTGGATAATCGAATTCCTGAGTTTCAGGCTCCACTACGTCAGTGAAAAATAGTGGGATTACCAAAGGACTGAGGGGATAGGTTATATCAAAAGATATTCTACAGCCCTTGCTAGTAATAAGAATAAAAGTGAAATTAAAAAACAGAAGATGCGTTAGAAACTTCGCCGTTGCTTGTAACGATTTCCACAGTCAGTTTTAAAGTCTGGTAGCGAAACTATGGAATGACGTCAGCAATAAAACCGAGACCATCGAAATCCGCAAAATATCTTCAACAACCACTCGGACAAAACACAATAAGTTTAGGGTTAAAGAGACCTTGAGGCAACTATGTATCACAATTGTCAGTAAGTCTGCGATTAACACCTCTACTCTTCTTAGAAATAATGAAATAGTTGGTAGGTGAAGGAGAAAGCAGAGGGAGATTGAGGTTTTAGTGGGTCTGCTCTACATGTTACGTCTCTTAGGACCAGAAACCGGAACAGAATTTGCACTGTTTCACCTACGAGCGACCTGCAGCTGCCAATTTTGCAATACCTGATATAAATTTAAAAAGAATTGCTTAAAAAGTTCCAGACTTTCTCAGTCATAAAAAAACTGCAGAAGATTTGGCCAAAC